GCGGTGGTGGTGAGATGACGTCGCGGAGACAAGAATGAATAAGTTGAACCAATGAATAACACGATAGCCGCAGAACGAGACCTGTCAGATTGTCAACTTCGTAATGCCTTACTAGGCACAGCTTGGAGTACGCACACCAAGTGATATGAGAGCGATGATGACGATACCGAGGGTTTCGTTAAGGCGGTCAGAAGTACTAGCCAGAGTTTGACCACCTATGATGCAGCCGGCGATTAACCATCCTTGATAGGTGAAGACGTTCAAAGCGCTGGCTACGATGGATCCGTAATACCTACACATCAACCGATAAGCTATGCATGGTGTCAGGTCACGAAGTGCCAAGGCATACCCCCACGAGTATCGCGCAAGAACCATGCTTCGCATTCCAAGCTTGGGACCGAACACCGCAAATGATGAACATGCGATCGAGCACGAGAGGCTAAATGACTCACAGATATGCGGCAGGTACAGTTGCACTGGTAGCACCTGAATGAGTTCACTGCTTCTGCCCCATGTCGGATTCGATACTTACATGAAGTCCACGACGAAGATAATCAGGAGACTATCTCTGAGACCAAGGCCGAAGAACGCAGGTCCAGCGGAGCCGATCCCGAAGCTAGTGGCAAGGGTGTTGTTGAGTGCGGTCCATGCAGTAGAACTAAGCTTGTTCAACACATACGAGGTGATATTCATGTTTACAGAAAACCAGATCAAGAACATTTGGTAGAGCTTGGTATCATCCCTGTCCTCAGGAAAGACGGGATCAATTCTGACAAACAAGGATACTCCAAACATCAGACTGCGTTCATGAGGAGTTCTACCAATACAAGCGAATATACCCTTTGGTTTCGATCCCCCAGTGAGCGAGAATGTTTGTCAAGCTCCTCAATGGAGATTGAGCCAGGAGCTCCCTAGGATGTTCGTGGGATGTCTCGCTTGAGGTGTCGGAGTTTTTAGGTACTTCCATAGTTCAGAAAATGAGAATGAGAATGAGGAGAGCGGTGTCAAGCAGATGGGGTCGATTGAGCCAAGCGGCGAGTTCGGAACACTTTATAACCCGTACGTGACACGAGTACAACCTCACCTACCCATTGTAGTGAACTTTCAAAATGAAGTAAACCTTCCCGGATGTCCGTCGTATGCGTTTTCGGGAAAGACGCTCATGTCGGGGCTTGAACTACATGAATGCCTTCGCCTCTGCTTGGTTTTGGCAATTGATGAATTGGGTGACTGGTCGGCAAGGAAGACGTATCGGTCTTTTCGTTCTCGGTGATTACTAGTTCCTGATCTACACGCTCGTACAGAGCAAAATGCTGTAAGTCACGCTCGTTCCATTGACCGCCACGGATTCCCTTGACTATTTTCCACATCCACCGTGGCATGTCCTATGGGTGTCAGCTGCGCAAGCTGACGAGTCCGCGTATTATGGGGGTCGGCACATACCCTGCATTACCAAAAATGCAAAGGGCAAGGTGGTCAGCATTCGTCAGGCCCGGTCTCCCGGGGTCATGCCGAAAAGATGTTAGTCGATATTTTCTTATCATGAGAGGATGTTCACAAGCCTGGTTATTACGTAAGATTGATGCCTCCTTCCCATTCAGTAGTATGTGGTACTGATTTCTAACTTTACGGAAATGACTTTTGCGCACCTGAACCAGCCACGAATTCACGTACGTCTTCAGCCAACGTTGTAGACAGGAGACCAGTCATGATCACCGTTATTACAAGGCTATTTCAGTGCGGAATACTCGCCATTGAGGGGTGGTCAGATGAGTGCCAGTGGCCGATTCAACGAACGCTTCATCGGATGACGATTCACCTCATCATAAATCGCTATGAGAATCGTCCCGCGGAGGGTTCGTTACATACCCCGCTCCGTAGGTTTTTGCCAGTGTCCGGAGATGCGGAACAGCCCGGCATCTTCCTTTCTGAACTTTTGATGTGCGCGGAGTACTTCCGCACTGGTCCCCAAGGTTCACCAACACTCGGTAGGCAGCCCCCAACTGCGGTGCCGCTCCACGAATCTTAATCATGTTCTACGAACTGTATGTAGTACATGTCACGGTGCGGGTGGGCTCATGCGGAATTCCTCCTAGCCAGATGCGGAACTCCTACCACGCCTTCTCCGAACCACATCGCTTCGTCAAACAAATCCTGTGGATCACCTCCGCATTTCATCCTAGCCTACTCTGACATGATGCAGAATGACTGCTCGTATAATCGGACAGCCCCTCCTTCAATGCGGATCGGCCCCGGATTATCTGCCACGCCTCGGTCATGCAGTGCGATGCAGTACCGCATCCTTTCGAAATATGTACATAGTATTAGCTCCGCACCCCCAGTCGCCGCATTCCTGTGTCAGATAGCATGCACCACGAAGATGTCATTCGTTGTATTGCACTTCCTAAACGCCTTCCACAATGCGGTAAAGATGCGGAGTGAGTCCGGAGAGAGTCTGGTGGATTCGAAGCAACCTCTGAGCCACAACGCTAAGCAGATCCGCAGATGAGAAGACCAAGAGATATGTATCACCGCCGTAGACGGTCACCAAACCAGAATGGTGTTGACGCCGAACTCAGAATGCGGATTTTGCGTCCGAATATTCAGTGCGGAGGGGTATTGCAACTTCCATATCATGTTGACAACGGCGAGGAAGGCAAGCAAGTCTAGAGGATTGATATGATGTATGTACACGATTGCTATGCGACGACGACGACTCGGGGAACGTTAACGATTAGCACCTCCAACAAGTCCGGTTCGGAAAGGCGAACCCTACCGCGCGTTGGTATGCGCGTGCGGGGGCTCGGGAGGTCATGGTATAGACTATCTTACAAGCAGGCGAAACATCGTCAGTGAGGAGCATTTGTGAGCATATGTGGGCTGTCGTAAATTAGTCGTGACTGTCATGCCTGTACGGATTCCGTAGGGTTCGGCCGCTCGACCTGCGGAGTGATAGCCTCGAGCTGTTGATCGGCCGCCTCTGCGAGCTCCTCTTCGATCGCCTTGCGCCCTTCGGCAGTGAGAATGGGGTTACCAGTGGAGATATCCTTCTGGAAGTACTTGGGGGTGAACCTATGGGGGAGGGAGGGAGAGGTTGATCAATTTGGCTATGTTCCACAGCGAAGCTACAAATACGCACTCGACGCCTTTACGCTTCCGCTCTGCCGCATCGTCTCTCTGCTTCTGTTCAATCACGAGCTTGTGCTTCGTCGCCTCGCTATACTCCTTCGCAAGCAATCTAGTCGTGACGCTGTCCCATAGCCTCCTGCTCTCGTTCTGTAGCTGCTTCTCGATGGGGCGCACCGTCTTCGGGATGACATGGAGTGTTGACAGGTCAAGGAGTGTCGCATACTCGCTGTCCGGCGCAGAGACGCGCTTCCAGCGAATTCGTCGGCGCCATGAACCGTCGAACACGGCGAGGACGCAGTCCTTCGGGACATGCTTGACACGCGTCCACTCTTCGTGAACCGTCTCTTTCGGGTCGTACGTGTGGATAACGCCCTCGAGCAGGAAGTGCGCCTTGCCCAACCACGACTCTTCCTTGTACTCGATCACCGCCCGAAGTTTCTCCCCGTCCTTCCCGCCGGTGCAGGTGATGATGGTCGAGTCGCCTACGGTCACATAGAACGATCCTCGCAGCAGCCCGTTCACGGATGCAATCGGGTGGGTAATGTGATACATCTCCCCTGCACCCGCGTCGCCCGTAATGCGGACGAAAATGCCTTTGTTATATGTGCCGGGCGCCACGCGAAGCGTCGTGCCGGACACCTTGGCGGAGATTTGGTCAACGCCCATCAGCTCTAGGTGCCGACTGGGGCAAGCCGCGAAGTACGCCGAAACAGGAGGATGATGCGAGACCTGCTCCGTGAGGTATACGATCCGGATCCTTGGCTTGTCGGCAGCGGCCTCATCAGCCTCGAGGAGGTCCGCGGCTCCAGAGGCCTTGTCACTCGCGAGGCTGAGATCGGACATGCCTGCCTCGAGGTTGGTCTCGGGGAGCTCGGGGGAAGTAGAGGGAGTCGACTTGGCAGTCGCGGCGCGGGACATGAAGCTGAGTCCACTGAATCCACTCTTGCCGCTGCGACCACTCTTGACACTTGCGCTCTCTGAGAGGGACGGATGAATTATATCCGGAGCAGATGCAGCTGCAGAAGAGAAGAAGTACGACGACGATGGGGCCGGCTCTGGCACAGGGGGAGACACGTAGAGGTACTGAATGGGGGCCTCGTTGGGATCCGAAGGATAGTCGACGGGGATAACATCCCAGTGGGAGCGGAAATGCTCCCCGAGAACGGAGTTGTATGGCTTGCACACTTTGCCTCGCTGTACTCTGTCAGCACAGCTCTACGACACAATTGACATGCTCACTCACGATGAACTTGAGATCCTTCGAGAAGGTGAATCGGAGTACAGCCAGCATACGCTCAAAAGGATCATCGGAATCATTGATGCTGGATGCATGTTTTGCGTCGGAGGATGATTAGAGGTAGAAAAGTATGTACTCACGCAGCAAAGAGATCCGGCCTGTCCAGGTACTGCCAATACTCGAGGTTGGGGATCGGCTCAAGCAAGGAGGCCGGAAGTGACAGACGCCTGATACGAGGTCGGACGGTAGATCAGACAGCAACGATATAGCGCAACGTACATAGCAGCGATATCCTTTACCCCAAGAGACTTCTTGACCAACTGTACTATCATCTTGAGCTTTCCGCTCTCTCCGGTGTCCGTAGAGTCGGGCACGGAGATGGGTTGGCCTGGGGCATCTTCGTCGAGCGGATTTACATCATTCTTATCATGCTTGTCGGTCATGACGTTCAAAGAGTCGTGAAGCAAGGAGCGAAAGACCAGGCGCGACGAAAGGGGGAGAAAAGGTAACGAGAAGGATGTTGGCAGGAGGCAATGAACGTGCGCAGTGGCATGCACTGCTCCACAACCGACTGTAACAAGGCAGCGAGCGCTGGCACCAAAACAGATTAGAAGCGAGCAAGAACTTTCAAAACTGGTTCGACCCGGGCTCGAACCGGAGACCTCCTGTGAGCACATTATGGTGTGAGACAGACGTGATAACCAACTACACCATCGAACCAACAACATAGTAGCACTGGACAGTTATATAGCTAAACACACTCCTTCCTAGTGACGGCACCATTGCCAACTTCAAGCTGAACTGCAACTTGAAGCCAAGTTGAGAAGACTATCCTCCTCAGAATGCCCATGAATATAGCGTGAGTGTTATCAATGCTTCTACGCATGGAACCAGCACTCAAGAAAACACACAGAATGATATGTGACTTCTTCCACCCGAACGTGGGCGGTGTGGAAAGTCACATCCACATGCTTGGTGCTTACCTCATTCAACGTGGCCATAAGGTATTCGCAAAGTCATCGTCTATCTCTCCATGCTAATGCGGAGGAGGTTATTGTTATAACGCATAGCCACCCTCCAGACCGTGTAGGCGTGCGATGGCTTCTGCCCTCACTCAAGGTGTACTACATCCCGTTTCCGACTATCGCGTCGTCAGCGACTCTGCCAAATTATTTCACGTTTCTACCCTATCTAAGGACTGTGATCTTGAGAGAGGGGATACAGCTCATTCATGGCCACGGTGGCTTGTCCTCGCTAGCTCACGAGGGTATTCTGCACGCCCACCTCATTGGTGTGAGGACTGTATTCACGGACCACAGTTTGTTCGGCTTCGACGATGCAGCCAGCATTCTCACCAACAAGCTCCTGGAGGCAGCCCTGCGCAACGTCGATGCTGCCATCTGCGTCTCACACACAGGGTAAGTTGCCGTCGGGCCTATCGCGTGACCTATGTCAACTAACAGAGTAAATAGCCGTGAAAACACAGTTCTACGAGCACGCATTTCACCCGACATCGTTCATGTCATCCCGAACGCCCTTGTCGCCGATCAGTTCAAGCCAGGGCCGTCCCCCCCTACTGGAGACATAAGTACGGAAGGACGTCTTGTACAGATGATACGAAGCACTGACTGATTCCCGTAGTCACCGTCGTAGTGGTTGCTAGGTTAGCCTATAGGAAAGGGATAGATCTACTCATTGCTACTGCTCCTCGGATATGTGCACTGTCTCCAAGTGTACATTTCCTGATTGGTGAGGTTAACACGATCTATTCAATGCGGCTTTAACGACTTACCACGCATATAGGTGGCGATGGTCCTAAAATGATAGACTTGCTGCAAATGCGCGAGAAATATCTTTTGCAAGACCGCATCGAGATACTCGGGCCCGTCCGCCATAGCGACGTTCACAAAGTCAGCAAGCCTCCATTGCAATCTTCTGGTATCCTCTTACTTGTCTACAGGTCCTTCGCCAGGGCTCCATATTTATGAACACATCTCTTACCGAGGCCTTCGGCATAGCCATCCTTGAGGCTGCATGTGCTGGCCTATACGTGGTATCAACGCGCGTAGGCGGTGTGCCCGAGATTCTGCCGGAGGATATGATCTCCTTCGCCAATCCTGACGAAGATGGTGAGCTAACCCGCTGTTCTATGTACAGAATGACTTTCCAATTAACACCCCCAATGCAGATGTCGTCCGAGCCATGTCAGAAGCTATACGACTAGTTTCCGCCCGCAAACACGACCCGCACAGAGCGCATGAGCGCATCAAGGACTTTTACGACTGGAGCTCCATCACTCGACGGACCGAAGTTGTGTATGAATCCGTCATGAAATCATCCCCTTACGACTTCTGGACACGCATGCATCGGTTCGTTTTGGTTCACGTCCAGTCCGAGGGGTGGTCACTCATGAAATTTGAAAGTACGCTCGATCTGGGACCCATTGCAGGGATCATCTTTGCAATAATTCTCCTCGTAGACTGTCTGTTCTTTATGGCCATCGAATGGTGGCTACCCGAGGATGAGCTGGACAAAGTCCAGATGCACTGGGATCCGGATCGCTTCAGAGAGGTGCGCCTCGTCCATATGTCGCGTCCTTGTTACTTAGTATGTTGCTCGGTCAATGTCAGGTTGTGGAAAATCACGAAGCTCGACGATCATAGCATACGTGTTTTTGATCACTATCGAAGTCGACGAAATTCTTGTCCCCGTTGGACATGTCGCTTGCCCGGCAGATATTGCTCTATATGGGTAGTCTCACCTTCAACATACTCGTCGTACTAATTAGACCAGGTAACTTTGACGCAGGTATCACGAATCCATGGTCTTCACTCTCACTACCTTCTCGCGAGAATGCTGCTCATAGTATCAGGGCATCCCCGTCGTCATCTTGACAATCCTTGTCCCAGATAAGACCCGTATGGCCAGCATCGGTGCTCACTTCCGTTCAGTGTGATGGTGTTCTCGCACAGGGATGCAGGAATCTGTCATTGCCAGTGTCAGTGGCGTCGTTGCCGTTTCATTGTCATCCTACAGGAGCATATCTGACTTCTCAATCTGGACAGTAGCTCGTGGTGCATGTGCTTGGTGCCGCATTGCCGGCCGCAGCCTCATCTGTGCCAGAAAATCACCAAGGCGATTAGTCTTCCGGGCAATCCTCGTAGAATCCGATAAGCTACTCACTGCGCTCACTCGTCTTGGTCATCGTGAGCAGGTGTATACCCTCAATGTACGCGCTGTCTTCGAACTTCATGATTTGGGATTTGCTCAGTGTTCCCTATTTGATCTAGGCTATCATCTCCGCCAGTGACATGTGCGACAGTGAACAGGGTGATACTATTGGCCTACCAACACCTCCGAGACTGTACCGTGCTGCGGTTTGAATGCTTGGAAGCGCATGACCGGAGCTATCCATATTCCACCCGAGACCCCAGATTCAGGAGGTCGAATGCGATCAACAACAACTCCTGTGTGGCTGTATAAGCCGTTTTGCGTGGATCTGCGGCCGTTTCGGCACTCATTAACTTTGTCCGGGGGCGGCGTACTTATTTAGGAAAACGATTACATGAGGCGCCAATGATCCCAGCAAGCATTGCTTGTAGTCACCATCCAGTGTCCACGCACACCACAGCCTCAACATGAGCAGGGGTTGTCTGACTGTACATTTCTAGCCCCAAGCAGAAAGAAGAAATACCTGAACAGGACGTGAACATGCCTTCATCGTGCATCGTACGTCCTGTAGGTGCCCTCAGCCCAAAGCAACGACGATCCAGTATCACGGATGTCCTCCTTTTGTTGTCCGTTGGGAGTTGGTCCGCTTCTTCTCAGGACTGAGAAGCGTAATCACTAGGAGGTGCGTGTTTACATTGCGACATCATCGACTAATAGAGCGGCCCTCACCCCAGATACAGACTTCGCCGACAGTCATGACAGGCCTGTACGATTCCGCGCAGTACGCGAACCAATGCAGCATTGTTGGCTTCTAGCCATGTGGCGTACAACACACACAAGCGTGCAAAACAGTTTGAGACGTTGTAAACCCACTGGAAGAAGTGGTCAATTATCCGCGGCAGTCGGCACCAGGAGACGACGGCCTTCCCTTCTCTGGTCACGCTGAAGGTAAGGAGCATGACGTCCCGTTAGACGGGATGTGTGCAGCAAGCTGAGCCATTGGGAGATGGATGATTGGTCAGCGCCTTCCCGCAAGGTCCATCTATACCAACTCAAACAGAGTTGGTCGTTCTCCGATTCGAGCATCGAGATAGGCGCTATGATATCTTGAACTCTGACAGAGGTGCGAGACATTCGGTTCCAGAAGTTTTACTTCCAAGAAGTCGAGCTTGCAGGTATGTAACCTGTATGGCTGGGACGTTCATTGCTCCAGCATGGCTCGCTTGCCGTCCATACGCTAGGCCGGTTCAAATGTCGCCCTCTTTGACTCGCTCGACCGTCACTTGACTCTGAATCCTTTTCTCCTATCATCATGACCTCGACGGAACTACCTCTGAAGGCGGAATCGATAAGCGAAATCAGCGCGCACTCACAGGCTGACCCCTCACGCACGCAACGATGGTTGCAAAAAACCACCGCATTTTTCGCTCGATGGGGAATTGAGACAAATGGGTGCGTTGAATTCTTGTGGAGTGAAAATTCATGAGGTCGTGCTGACTGCATTGCGTTCTTGCTCTACAGGATCGACCCCATCCTTCCGGAGGATAGGCAGGATACAAGGATCTACCAAACTTTTTTCACGTGGTTCTCTCTGAACACCAACATAATATTGTTCGCACGTATCTTCTCAGTCACAAGATTAGCACCTCATCCACAAATGTTTCTTCCACTAGCCTTGGAGTCGGAGCCTCTGGCCCCGCTTTCTTTGGCCTTAGTCTCAGGGATAGTGTGCTTATAATCCTCGTCGCTGATCTAATGTGAGTATTTAACACTCTAATTGTTGCAGCACCAAACTTATTATCATGAGATATCCAGCTCATCTGCGATACCAGCATATTTGTTGAGTCACTCTCCTCTTCCGCTACGGCCCAATATTGCTTACCAGGCTCTTCTCAGCTCAGTATTTGGCACCAAGCTCGGAATGCGGGGTATGGTGCTTGCACGATACTCTTGGGGGTACGTTCCGTGGTACCCCACATGAACAACATGCATAATATGGCATAATATGGCTGATCTTGGATAGTTATTACGGATCTATCATCCCCAGCGTGCTCAACGTCGTCTCCTATCAAGGATGGTTGATCGTCAACTGTATCGTAGGGGGTCAGATACTAGCCAGTGTCTCTGAAAATCTAGACGTAACTGTTGGAATCGTCATCATAGCTATCATATCGCTTGTGGTACATGGTCCATGGTTGATAATCACGAATCATGTCTGGTGAGATTGACATCCCTACAGGTGTCGGTTTGCGGCTACCGCTTCATACATTGGTTCGTATTTCGATTCTACACCGTCATTCTGGGATGTAACCTCCATCTCACAGCTACGAGACGATAGCTTGGATCCCCAGCGTAGTCGCATTCATTGTCATGCTTGTGATTGGGGGAAAGAATCTCAGAAACATCCCACCGGAGCAGCCAGCGAGTGCCGCCATCATTCTCTCATATGCCACCACGGTCGCGGGAAGTATCGTTTCGGGCTGCACATTGACACCCGACTATGGTGTCTATCATTCCGGAGAGCGATCTAGGTGCCGTTCATTTTCTCC